GGACCTTTCATACAGAAAGTGCAGAAATAAAACAGTGTTAACATCTGCATTCACTATGTATCTTGTCTGCTGAAATCCCACATGCTGAGCTCTGTATGCCTGTGCTGCTGACTCTCACTTTGACTCTCTTTACTGTTAAAGACCAGGAAGTCTAATGTACATATTCATCTATTAAACTAGAGGATATATCTCCATAAAAATGTCTCACCTCCAGACAAGTTTTCAGTAGTTATAGAGAGTGGACTGAACTTGTAATTTAAAAATATCTATCTATCTATCTATCTATCTGTCTGTCTATCTATTTATTTATTTATTTGAATGTAAAGGAAAAATATAATATGTCCTTAATGAACAATGCCTAGTATATGGCATTTTAATTTAAATTATCAGACAATTCCATACCTAAAAAAGTATGAATGAATAGCTAATTCCATTTAGTACTTTGGTATTGTACTGAAACTTGCTAAAAAGGAAATAGCACAGAATAAAGAGAAATCTCATGTTCAGGGAAGGTATGAATAAGTTCTAATCCAGATCAGTTATTTAAGTGTCTTATTAGTAACATATTTTCTGGAGATGCAATACAGAAGAAGATAGCGCATTCTTTCTCAGTGGTTGAGAACAACTTCAATTTCAAAAGTTCCTATGTTGTCTGATGGGATAGCTTGACTGCTTGTGAAGCAGCAGCCAAATTTATTTGGCTTTCAACTCCTTTAGTAAGTTAAATCCCAAATTAAAGTTGATCCGGCAATTTTCCCTCATATGCTAGGTCATAATATGTAACTGTTCAATAGTTGTCTTATGAACTTCTGATTAAAAAGTGGATAGCATCAGCAGTGCATGGGCACCGTCAAGTCTTCGGTTGCAAAGCTTTTGTGGTAATCCCTAATTACAGAAGTCTTCTACTGTACACTTCTGCATCAAAGTATCAGTGTTCAGTATCGACCCAAATATCTGGGAAGGAACAGACAGATGAACAGGCTAAAATAAGAAACAGTATTGTTTTGATAGCCAACATTGTTCCAGTTTTGATGATGCCCAGAAGAAAGCCTGAGTAAGAATATAAATATGAGCAGCTAATTTCAACTGAATTTTACTTTAGTTATGCTACTGCTAACATAATTTTACTAGCATTGTTTTACTTACAGCTTTATTTAATTGTGACCAGATAGAGTTTCAGTAATGCTGAATGGCAGTCACACAATTGATAGTAACCTACTACTTCTGATTTCTTAGCAGATTTAATTGTACTGGAAGATTCCCAAATAGATTGTGACTTTGATTTATAAATCAGTTCTGGAGAGAGTATCTGTTGGACTTTGTGCTGGTATTCTTATGGGACATTGAAAATAGTTGTCAGTTCTCAATCAAAATTACCCTTACTTTAATAAGCATATATGTGCTCACAGTGTAATTGTATTTGCTATCAGAGTGCTTAGCAGCTTAGGTCAGAATCAATGTCAAGAAAGTGACAGCACTAATTGTGCAGATAATTTGTGTCAAACTTTAATTAACAACCTTTATAAAGACGAAGGCAACAAATACAATTTTTCTTTTTTTTTTTTTTTTTTAATTTCCTGGGCATGATTTCACACACTTGTACACTTGTACACTGATGATAGTCAGTTTCTACATGAACACAAAGGTTAAATAATGAAAAAGTGAATTGCATGTGCTTGTCTTTCTCCATGGCTAGCTGGCTACTGTCATCAAAGGCATAACTTCTTTTGACCACAAATGAGTTTGTTCTCATAAAACCTGTTAAACATAAAACCAGTATTATCTTTCTACATATAATTGTATTCTTAACAAAACAACCTTAAAAAATAGTTTCTCTTGAAAAATATCTACAAATAGGGAATTACATCATTATATACATATATATATTATATATATTATATATATATATATATGTTTGTCTTTTCCCTGTCCTACTTCAAAGGAAGTGTTGTTAGTTCACACATGGTCCAGCAAAAATTGACCTAGGACTGGAAGCACACTATTATTCTTCAAATACCTAGACAAATACAAAGACATGTTAGCAATTCAGCCCTATTTCTGCAACTTCACTAGCTCTGCAGAAATATGTAAGCATTCTTTAATAAGAGACATGACAGTTTTAGTCCTGCATCAATTTTTTTTCCCCGAATCATAGATTGATTCAGAAAACTGGTTATATTTCTAATATCAGTGAAGTTTTGTAGAAAAAGTATATTTTGGGGTATACTGTTAGATAAATAGCATTGCAGTTTGCATAGTTTTCAATGTGGAGTTATGTTTATTTTCTGTTCAACAGAAATGGGAAAGGCAAATTCTGTTACAGTATAAATTAGTACAAACTCTGTTTCACTTGCTTCAGTTGCACTTATAAAGAATTTGTCTCTGAATGTCTGATAAGGAAGAAAAAGATTCTATTTCTCCATTTTTTAAAAAAGTATTATTACCATTAATATGGTATATTGCATGAAAGCAAAAGCATGCAAACCATAAATATCATGGTGATTGACAGTGACACAAAACTAGTAGTAGAATGCATTTTTATTTGTGTATTTTGCAAATCTAGTTTAATGTGGTTAGGCATGCTTGTTGTTTATTTCTATTTTTTCTATTGTTTCTGTTTTCTTTGTTGTTTAATTATCTGGAATTCCCCTGTTCTCAGGATAATAAATAAAATGTTGCAGAAATGAATGCATGACATGGTTGTTGAGCTGGTAATCGTCCTTGACCCTGATAATGCATAGCAAAACTGGCAAATTTTTCAAAATAAATCTTGTCTGGATGGAAGTTACTTTATTGATGCTGAATTTATGAGTTTGCCAGTCTCTGCATATATTAGTGAAGCATTTATTTAGAACTGAAAATCTTCCTGTGAGCTATAATACATAGTTTCTGTGTGCTGGTGAACTTCCCCAGACAACGTTTTTTCTTTCATTGGTTTGCAGTTCAAGAGTGAATTCACAAAATGTCAGAAAGAATAAAATAGAATGATGTGCATCAGTTTTCACATGATGGCACACAATCATAATTTGTGCCACAGAGTATCAGCATATCTGAATCAGTCATGTCTCTTTATGTATCAGAGAGCTTAGTAAATGCATGTGCAGAAAAGGATACAAAGCTAGCAGTTTTGGTGAAATCCAGATGCTCCTCATCAGAATACATTTCTGTCTTTACTGTGGTCCAGGCATAAAGCCTGGACACATAGGAAAGGATTTTCAGTTTTGCTGCTCTAACTCTGTTCTTCTTATGTTGTGCATTTGGAGATTTTTTTCCATCAAAAATACACTTTTGTAAGTTCCCCACAGCAGCAGTGGCACACTGTTTTGCTGTGTCCAGTCTTGCTGTTGCACTTGTCTTCAGATACCGTATTTATTACTGATGAATATGAGACAAAATCAGCACAGCAAATAGTTTAAGGAGGCTAGAACTTTCTGCGAAGTTGAAAATATAACAATAACCATTTTGCCTGAACATTCTGTTAAAGAAAAAAACGCATTCATGAACAAAATATTTTTACTGTTTTTTTAATTTAATTTTATTTTATTATTATTATTATCTTTTTTAATGGTATGTTGAATGCTACAGGTTGGTTAAAATAGACTCAATTAATTTAATAAACTTGAGACATTTTTCATGTTCCCATATTAAGCGTAGCAATGTAGCAATACATTCTGTTTTATAAGAAAGTCTACATCATATTTTCTTTAAAATTTAAAATGATTTCAGGATTCATATAAGTGTTACTTGGACGCATACATTCATACATGCAGTCTTCTAAGATTCTATCATTTAAATAAAGATGTTGACAAGAAATACTGCCTTCGGGAAAGCCACCTCAGAAGAATAGGCAGATAGACATTAGAAATGTAGTGCAACAAATTGGAATAAAAAAGAAGTACAATATTTGTACATAAATGTCAGTACTAAGGTGGAATGATGAAGACAACCAGAGGCTGAGAATAAAAATGTAGCAAAAATTGAAGATGAGAGCAAAATTAGTTGTTGCAGAGCCACTACATATAATAGCTTACAGCTGAACACAGACCATAGATCAAAGATCTGCTTTTCTTTTTTTTTTTTGTAATGATTTTATTGACCCTCTGTACTCCATGTAATGCGAATCAGCATCTCCAACTGTACTCGAAAGACTACTCAATTACAAAAGAGAATTAAGTAAATATATGAAAGAACTCTTTAACATCTCTGTACTGTGCTTAGACTCTCAGACTTTTACATTGATTTCTCAGAAATCTTGTCCTGCACTAGTCCAAGTTTGAAAGTGTTGTTTCTTAAACAATCTGATAAATTTATTATGCTCTACAAGAAAAAGGAGGCAAGAGAATAATTGATGAAAATATCCTTATTTACTTTTTAAATGACTTCTCCAGTTCTCTCTCTTTTCTTGTTCTTGCAATAGTTGTATTTTTTTCACTTCTTTGTGACAGAGTAAAATATTGTGGGAATGAACTGGAGTTTTACATAAAACTGTGCACAAGCATAAATCTCACTTCTGTTATAGTCCCTTCTGCATAAGCTTTTAATACATAGGTATTTACCCATACCTCTTCAAACTTAAAATATTTTCACAGACTTTCTCTGAAATGTCACTGATTTTAATGGCTTAAAGGTGGAAATCCAGCTTTCATGACATCCTGTGATCATATCATCAAGTAATGAATCATGGTATAATTTAAGTTGATAGATGAGCTCATTTTGCAACAGAAGGCAAATAGATTTTTTATTTATAACTGTGATAAAATATAATGTATGGTCTTGCTACTCTGATGGCATCAGATTTAATAGTAAAATCTGTAAGTACTTCCCTGACCTTTTAGTTATTTCTTATTACTTTTTCTTGCAGATGAATACTGTCACTGAAGAAAGAAGATATTTTATTCTATTCATTTTGAAATCTTGATGTGTTGTTTTTGTTTTTTTTTTTTTTTTTCATGATTGCTACTTAGATTAATTTTGTTTGTTTGTTTGTTTGTTTGTTTTAGCACCACCAAAGTTTACAAGAACACCTGTTGACCAGACAGGGGTTTCTGGAGGTGTCGCTTCATTCATCTGTCAAGCCACAGGAGACCCGAGACCTAAAATTGTCTGGAACAAGAAGGGAAAGAAAGTCAGCAATCAGAGATTTGAGGTATTAGGTCCATTGTTCTGTTCCTCTGAAAAACTTAAGTTCCAACCTCACTTCTAATCCCAATATGTGTGCTCTATTTTCATAGATTAAACAAAATAGCTATGATCACTGGGAATAACTTAATGAGAGCAGACTTGTGAATGTTCCATTTTTCAAACTGGTTACACATAAGCACTGTTAAAGGTGAAATTATCACTGCTGCTTTATAAACCAACATAATTTATCTGGTGAGCCTTGGCATACTTCTGTTCAGGTGGCTAACTTTTCTGTAAAGGAGATAAGGAAAATTATTTGTGCCATGATTATTGTCCACAGAGAGCAAACCACCTCCTTCTGTGATAGTGTACACCAAGCAGACCTAGCCTGATGCAGCCTCTGCTGCCATAATTGCTTACCACCACTGCAGATAAAGATGAAAGGGACATTACAGTTCCTGCTGCTTTAGAGGAAATATAAAATTTGTTTGCTTTTGATTCTTTTCTTAACAATAACCTTGGGAGAGGCTATAGAGAAAGCTGTTTCCTCTCTTTCCACAACATTCAATTAAAGGAAATAGTAAAAATAATCTTTTCAAAGGATATAGTTTCTTTGGGGAAATAAAACAGCAAATAACATTCCCTCTTTTAGTGTCAGGAACAATTAATATAAAGTATTGATTGACCTTTAACATGAAGAAAAAGTTCAGAAAATGAGTTAAGTCATATATAATGGACACTAAAATGGGGCTAATAGTATATAATTTCCCCTGTGCCTCTTCACTATTTTCACTGTTAAAAAGCATATACTTTGCATTCAGAATGCCTAGGTGTTTTATAAAACTGTTGTGACGCATAATTTTTGAGTGAACGATAGAAGATGCAGATACAAAACTTGAATGAACATTGAAGTCTTCTGTGTTCATTTTAAATAGTTTTGAGGAAGCCTATATCGCTATAGATAATGACTGTATTGAAAAATAGTGCTTTGTAACTGAGAATTGTTATGCTCATTGCATATATTGTAGTTTCCATGGAAATAAATAGGAGGTATTACTTGAGCAAAGTGCATAATAATATTTCCCAAATCTGTACTTTTTTTCTCTTACTCTCAGCAAAAGTGGAGACCTGATAGAATATTTGTGTGTAACTTAGACACAAGCATATACGTAAATTGTTTTGTTTGTGTATATATAGAGTATGGTGAAATATGTATTGCTTTGTAAAAAAAAGAAATGTAATTAACTTGTATTTATAAGTACTGTTGTCCTGATGGTAGTACTAACATATTTTATTGACAAATTTAAAATCAGCTTAGATTATATAGATTACTACTATTATTTAATTATAGGGAAGACCTTTCCAGTGTTTGGAATTCTGCGTTACTCACCAATAAATGGCATAGTTGTGTCTGCAGGACAAGGAGATAAAAACAATAGAATTCAAATTAATTTAAAGGAATTAATTAGAGTAAAAATGTGTATTTCATTTTTTCTTATATGAAAATGGCTGTATCTTCTATAAATATTGCAGTTTGAAAAACTAAATATGTAAGTTGTTTATTTAGTCCTATTACTTAGTCCTTTAACTGATACATGGTTTCTGTTGCATTTTTTATAAATTTCCTTCCAATCTGTGGGCTGAATGCATAGTTAAGCAAACTAGTTCTATCTTGTTCAGAAATTGTCAAGCTTTTGTCACTTGGGAGCTCAAACGGTGAAGTGCAGCCTATAACTAGGGTGCAAGAATAGCCTGCAGCAATTTCAACTAACATATGATGGTAAAGCTAAGGGAATGATGGGAGACTGCTGATGGACTTCAGGATAAGAGAACATTAAGTTACAGAATACATTCTTACAGACCTTGTTAGATCTTTTGTTGATGGTGGTTTGCTGTTGTTATTGTTGGTGTTGGTGCTCTTTTTTGTTTATTGGTTTGTTTTTCTTGTTGTTTCTTGAAATTACCTTGGAGTGGCCATTGCATGTCCAGCACTGTATGTTATACCCAGCATTGTCTATATTCCTACAAGTGTTAAATTTGCCATGGTATGCATATACAAAAAAGGTTCTGATGTCAAAAATACTGGCAGGTCACTGTTCATGTACAGATTAATGGAGGGATAGGTATTTGTAACAACATCTGTGACAGCTGTTGTTTCCTTTTATAGGTAATAGAGTTTGATGATGGGTCTGGATCAGTTCTCAGAATACAACCACTGCGCACACCACGAGATGAAGCTATTTATGAGTGTGTGGCTTCCAATAGTGTCGGTGAAATAAGTGTATCCACGAGACTCACTGTTTTACGTGGTAAGTTCTTTCTAATCATAGTTAATTTACTTCTTAGAGAAAAAAGTGATTTTAAAAGGGAGGCTTCACTCCAAGATAATAAATCACAAATATTTTCGAATGAGTGTTGTTTTAGTCCTGATACTGTTAAATATACATAACGTATAACTTGGTAATGGGAGTATGACTGAGTAGACCAAGGAAGAGAAATAAGACAGGAGAGCATTGTGCGTAACAAGTTACTTATGTTATTTAATGAACAAAAAGAATGCTTTATGAGTACATCTGATTTGCATTTTACTGCTCTTCTGGGTAGCTTAGCTTTGTGTGATCAGCATTTACACGGAAATTGGCCCAATTAAGAGTGACCTTGACAAATTACATAAGCAGATTTTAGAAGAGGGTAAGCTGCTACAAGACTTTTCCCCCAGGACAATATGCGTAAAAAATGTGTTTTTTTCAATTTCAAACGTTTATGTCACCTGTATTGTGTTTCTACTTCAGTAAGAAGTTTTTGAAGGTAGTAAAGGAAAATGATTTTTTTTTTTTTTTTAACTATCCCTCAGGGATAAGGATATAAATGTACTGCCAAGTCCATTGTCTACATAGTACTCATAGTAGTAAGTGCTAGCAGTGAAATGACTTGAATGTTTCATTATGTCTGCTGGAAATAAATGGAAACTGGATTTGGAGACGCTTCTTGAAATATGACACTCTTCAGCTTTTATGGCAGAAAATTATTATATGCAGTTGTGATATCACATGGCATTATTTGATTTGTATAATTAATTGCTAAGAGCTTCTTTATATTATTTCTATTATTATTCATACTATTTATATTAAATAGATCCTGATCATTGCAGGGGGGATTGGATCAGATGTCCTTTAATGGTCACTTTCAACTCAAATGATTCTGTGATTCAGTATGAACTAATAATGATCAGCCTACTTGACAGAATTTAAAAGAAAAAAATGTTAAATATATTTAAATGTATATATATATATATATATATCCTTTTTTCTCAATAGAATTAGTGAGACATGAATGTAGTTTTTCTATTAAAAAAAAAAAAAAGAAAATATTTATTTCAATACTTGTGATTTTTTCAGTAGTGGGTAGTCGGTGTCAAAAAAGAATCTTAGAGGTAGTCTGATATAAACAAATTTATGTAATGTTTAAATTTGTTATATCTAATGCCAGAATCATCGCTTCTGTTATCTTTTAAAAATTCTTCTCAGTCTAATGAATGAAAATTGTAAGACCAATTATTTTTTATGCATAGTTTCCATGAAATACAACCATGCGTCATACTGTACTAAAAATTAAAGGAACGTAAGGAGGAAATTAAAAACAAAAAACTAAAAAATCAGTGGGAAAACTCAGGTTCATTCCTTGCCTATATAATCTCTTTAAATGTATTTACAAATCTCTGACCTATAGAGATCTGTTTCTTTTCTATTTCTGTTGATTATTAAATTGTTAGGCATATGTGAGCTTTGCTACCTTTCCTACTCAAATATTTCAGCAATGTACTCACAAGGTAAACATCAGATTTGCTTAAAAAATGTTCATAATGCTATGCATATACAAATGTTAAATAAGCAAAATATGAATACTATTAGTTGTTAGGTTAAAAAATTAAGTAACTTTAAATTTAAATTAATTAAAAACTGTTTGTCTAATTAAAATGTATTGTCTGAAAAAAAAAGTAACTTTTAGTTGTAATACAGCTTTTCCAAATGATGAAATATCTTTTTTGCCTCAGAAATAGATTTACATATTTGAGGCAAAGCTGAGAACATGTGTGAGTTCTTGAACTGTAGATTTAGATTTAGATAAATGGGTAACGTCTGAGAAAGGAAGGACCATGATAGATCAAGGCAATGTAATGAAGTTTTATCAGGCCTAGGATTTTGAGATGCTTTAAATTCAGTACCTTGCTATGTTTTCTTGTTTGTTTGTTTGTTTTTCTGTGACAAACAATAATGCCAAGTGCATTAGACTGGAAGATAAGTAATTCTATTATAAGCTTCTGCTTTGCAGTCTTAGACAAATCTTCATTATATACAGTCTTCAATAGCAGTCTCGTGTAAAACGCTCCATTTGATTTTATCACTGTTGGACATTGCCTCGCATAACTCCTTTAGGAATAAACATATGATACAGATGTGAAAAAGAATTAAACAAATATAATCCAATACAAAACAGATTGGAGTGTCTTTCATCTGCGGTCCACTTAGTTTTGACTCATCCCCAGTGAGTGGATGACTCCTGACTGAAGAAAATACGCAAGCTATGCTATGCTCCAAATGTTCTTTAAATGTTTCAGCAACGGTGTTGTTACAGACCCAAATAAGCAATTATACTAGATCTTGTACAAATGGGGATCTTGAGAAGGAAGTCAGATTTAACCCATAGTTCAACATACACATATATGTATCCTAATGCAAAAGTCTGGTGAAATGAAGACATTTACAGCAGATGAAATATCAACATATATTCGTTTGTTATTATAATCCATTGTAACTATTACAAAACTCTTGTATATCACAGCACATAAATGTTTTTGCCAACACACGCATCTTTTAAAGCTAAACTTGACAGTTTTTCTATCTGCAGCTGAACCAACCATTTTCTTCACTAAAGCTTTTACACACTTTTATTTTGTTCTTGCTCTTTGAGCAAATTATTGTACGTGGCTCTCTAGGAACCATGAATATAAATAAAGTTGCTAGCTTTTGGCTGTTGAAGTTTTAAAATGCATAAAAAGTACAGGAAAAGTGACGTTATTCCAAGGCCTCAACAGAGACGTGATAGGGCCTTCTTCTGTTACTGGAGTAAATCAGGGCACATTCCAACACAAGTTAAACATTTACTTTCTAGGCTGAACATACTATCTATGTGGACCAAGAGTGAATGTCTTAGATAAACTAAAACCGCTTTTGATTTCCTATATATAAAGCTACAGCAAAATGCTGAATTTGACAAGAAAAAAACGTTTTTTTTTTTCTTGTCAAATAGGGTAAAGATCTGGGAGGGTCTTTACAGACAAGAGGAGTCTATGCTACTTCTTTTGGAGGTTTTCATTTTGAAAATTTATACTGAGAATCATTTGAGTGAAACAACACTTTAAGTCATTCATTCAAAATTATCAGTTTTCAATAGGCTATCAAAGGCTATAAAATGTAGGAAGTTTCCAAACACTGGTAATTGCAGGTGTAGTTACTTTTATTGTTCATTTATTTATTGTTAGATCAACCTAAAAACTGTTCTGCTGTGTTGTTTTCAACTTGTAAGTGGTGGATAATAGATAATTTTAATGACTATACAAAAGTTTTTCTGGCAGGTGTTACGTGCAATAATGTATATTGTTCAGGAAGAAGGAAAGGAGGTACTTATTTCTGGCATAATAGAGAAACCAGCAAAACTTACATGGAGTTCATTTTGAAGAATTTGTTTTCATTTTTCTTTTTGACTTCTGTCATGATTCAACCCAGCAGGTAGCTAATAACAACATAACCACATCCTTGGGATGAGGGAGAAAACAAAATAGAAATCTTGTGTTAAGATAAAAACTATTTACTAACACAGAAGTAGAAGAAAAAATTAAGACAAATAAATATCTCCATAATGCAACTACCTACCACCTGATGCCTAACTAGCAATACAACAATACAGGCTGATGACCTGCTAGCGCAAGGTATATCTAATGCCTAGACATTTACTATCACTGATGTTTGCATTGTTTTACCTATTACTATCTAACAAGAGTGACTACACATGTTACTTGAGCAAAAAGGCAGTTAGCTTTCTCTGCCCGTTATTCTCTCTATCATTGTTGATTATATAGTGAGTTATGAAAATATGAACATTAAGAATCTTTGTAGCACAAGCACTGTATAAAGAAGGAAACAGGAAGGGAAGTGACTAGGACAGATATATATATATTTTTTTTCTTATTTGAAAGTAGTTAACGTCCAGAAGTCGTTGCTGCTGAAACTAAAAAGTGAAATATTTACTGAGTGCTAAATGTTTCTCTGTGCATTGATAGACACAAGTTTGAGATGCAATACTGCTGAAATGACAAGGAATGATTTTGAAGTATTTTGTGATCTGGCACTTTTATCTTTTAGGGCACAGAAATTAGGAAAATGAAGTGGCATGGCTATAATTTTGGAAAATGCACTATGGGATGGCTCTTATTTGTATATAAATGGGAGGAATGAGTTTACATATACTGAGTATTAGAAATATGGTATGAAAAATTAACTGTGTTCCAGCTGGAGCTATATAAACTGTGTACACCAGTGTTTACCTCACTTGACTGCTTGCTGTATAGTCATAATGACAGTAGCTGGGGGGCTTCTGGTAGGACAAACCACTGAAAGTGGAATGAAGTGAAGAAAGGTAAATAAGAAAATACCTCTGTCACAACTTCGTACACTGTAAAGTTATTTGATATTTGAAATATATTTGAAATCTGAAGAGTCAAACAAGTATCTTTGCTCAAACTTCCTCAAATTTCAGTGATCATGCTACATACTATGCACAGCACAATGTTACCAAAATTAGCATGTTAATTACAGTCCTGTTTTTATTATGCCTCTTTTTTGAAGAGGAACACTGTTATTCCTGCTGTGAAAATAGTACTTTGCAATTTATGTTATAAAGTCTCTCCTGGGGAGCTGTGTAAGGAAGATTAAGGAACAAAACACAGCTGCTTGGCAGTCACGCAAAAGGATGTTGAGATACTGAAAAAAGAAGGAAAAAAAGAAGAGAAATGTAGCCAGTACAATTTATGTTTCAGTAGAAACTTACAAGCAGGTGTGGATTGGCGTTCAGATTTTGTGAAATGGATAATGAAGTAGTAAAGTACTAGGAATATTTAGACGTAACACTATAAAGGAAATTTTCACGTTACCAATTAATAATAAAAGCTGCAGGTGTGCCTTTGTGAAGTTCCCTTCCCTTCCCTTCCCTTCCCTTCCCTTCCCTTCCCTTCCCTTCCCTTCCCTTCCCT